AGTTGTAGCAAGTCACACTCGAAACACCTCTGTAATCAAGATACTTGTGACCTAGCTTGCCACACTTGAAACACTTTACATCAGCACTTGTGCACTCAGGAGCACGATGTCCTTCGACACCACACCTGTAGCACTTAACCGAAGTAGAAGCTTATCCCCCACTCAACTTCTTGTAATCACCAACTCTCCATTTCCCTTTACAATCAGGTGTCACATACGACCTCCCTTTAGATTTCCCCTTGTCCTTCTTGTCATGCAAAGCCTTATAGTAAGCAACACTATCTCGACTATCCTCATCATTGATCCTACTCTTGTTAACTAGCTCAGAAAATCTAGTAATCTGCTGATAACTCATAGCCTTCTTGATTTCAAGTATCAAACCATTCACAAATTTAAGACACTTAGATTTCTCAGCATTAGCAGTATTGTAATGAGGATAAAACTTAATCAACTCCTCAAACTTTGCAGCATACTCCGCCATAGTACCATTACCCTGCTTCAGCTTAAGAAACTCAATCTTCTTCTTTCCACGCATATCTTCAGGGAAATACTTCTCTAGAAAGGCATCCCTAAAAAGTGCCCAAGTAACCTCAGTCCTGTTTCATCAAACCTCTGAACAGTGTTATTCCACCAATCCTCGGCTTCCTTCTCAAGCATATGGATTCCAAACTGCACCTTATGCGCATCAAAGTAATTCATGACCCGGAATATCTTCTTAATCACTTTCATCCAAATTTGTGCCTTGTCAGATTCATGAGTTCCTTCAAAGATTGGTGGATTGTTCCTCTGGAACTTCCCCAAAGCACATAATTCATCATCTTCATTCCTGTTACCAACATTGATGTGCGGTTGTTGACCAATTGCACCGACCAACATAGCCAACGCTTCAACAATAGCATCGTCGTTCCTTCCGACAACCATCATCCTAAAATTCCAAACAACCAAATAATCAACAACACTCATCATACAAATAGTACCACCCCCTTTTCTGCCCCACACAAATATGTAATATAATCAGAGTAATTAGCATGCACATCACAAAAGGGCGTCACATTTACTTCACGATAATAAATCTAATACATTGGTCATATTTATAACACGCATTTAGGATCATATTCCATACCATAACATATAAGCATCTCGCAACAGAATAATTTATAACTCAAAATAATGATATTAATGATTGAAATCTCATACTGACAATCATATCAGAAAATACTAGGCACTAAAGACCATCATCACATACATCTCAATCAACATAAATATCTAGAGAGTATACCAATATCTCTCAAATAAACATGAATATCATAAACATAACATAAAACCAAAAGTTCCCCGTATTACATAGACCAGAGCATGACTCAATACCTAGTAAACGGATAAATAAGAATCTAATCTCCTGCGACTAATCCTTGCTAGAAACATCACCGCTATCCCTGGTACCTAAGCAATGTCGTATAAAATATCATTCCAACAGAAGGGTGAGAATTTATATCATTATAGAAATATATAATAATAAGTAATGCATAATAAACATGCATCAAATGAATTCATCACACTTTACATAATCATGTATTCAACATACTTCAACATAATTCACAATTAATCCAAACATTCACAAAATCACACAATTTAATTAATTACTATATCAAATAATAATTAATAAAATAAATAATTATTAAAATAATTACTAAAGAAAAATGGGGTGTTACAAAAGACCTCGGAGAAGCCAATGTGATTCTCAAAATCAAGATCACTAGATTTAGAAGGGAATATCAATCTCACTATATGGAGAAGATCTTAAAGAAATATAACTACTTTGAATGTAAACCTATTTGCAATATGATTCTAGTGTAAAACTATTTAAGAACATTGGTGTCAATGTTAGACAAACTAAATATGCGAACATCAAGGGTAGTCTTAGATATATCATTATTTATACTAGACCTGAGATTTCATATATCATAGGATTGTTGTGTATGTTTACTAGTAGACCAATTAATGAGAAACGACAAGCCATTTAGAGAGTCATGTGGTACCTTAAAAGGATCACGAAACTTGGTGTACGTTATCAAAAATTTCATGTTGTATTTGAAGGATACAACGATGCAGAATGGAACATATTATCACATGATTCTAAAACAACTATTGGCTATATATCCAGTATAGCTAGAGGATTTTTATCTTGAAAATCAAAGAAACGTTCTCGTTTTTGTATGGTCTAAAACAATTTCCAAAAGTGGAAGTCTATACTTGTTGGTCTTATATGTTTAATCAATTATGAACACATTGAGAAATATATAGAACAACTTTATGGAATCAAGATGAATCCAAAATATATCTCGAACAATGACTTTATCCTCATAAACTCTGTATCTAAAAATATTCTGGTCATCCTCTAAAAGCTTCACAGTTATTGCATTTCATATTTTGGACCTCTTACCACCTTGTTGTTTTGGGCACACACGTTATATACTTGCTTGATATTTAAAATATTTTGAGGTCTTTTTTGTGTCAAAGTTGCAAGTATGCTTTTCGGCGCCATCGTGTGTAATGTCATGTCCGAAATAAGTTCTTTCTCCTCGGAAATAAGGCGGCATACAATGAGATGAATGTCTAGCTTGTGACACAAGATATTATCATGTATACCAAAAACCATATTAAAGTTCCATTTATCATTTTCCTTACGGTATCTAGGCAATTCAAACAGACACTCATATTTTCTCGATCCGGTGTCATCATGTTTCAACTTTCTAATCGGTGGTTGGTACGTGTCACTTCTTTTGCGTCTCATTGTTACAAATGTTTGTCTTCTATTAGAACCATTGTCAGACCTTTTAATTACAATCCAACCCCGAATTTCTCGGCCTCCATGAAGACTCATTGTAGCATATGTTCACGAACAATAAACTCTTGCCTATTTATAAATTATTCACGAACATCTACCTCGACAACAAGCGGTCTAACACCTAATTTAACATCATCATTCACTTCAACTGATTTAACATCTTCGTTCACTTCATCTGGTTTAACCTCATCCTTCACTTCATCCAATTTAACATCCATCCTAATAGTAGCCTTGTGAAACATATATGGGAGCAACATATCTAATACTAGAGGTGGAAAAACGGATTCGATCCGTTGGGCATATACCCGTTTTACCGGCACTTTTCTGTGGGGCGGACTAAGATTTTAGGCTCGCAAGCTTAAATATGTTTGCTCTGCCCCGTTCCGTTTTTTTACGGGCTTTTGCAGACACACACATTTACACAAAAGTTTATATTTTTAAACTTAAAAGGTGCAAAGACTGTGGGCATTCTCCGCTCCACCATCATTTTTTTGCGAGACAAATCAAGATTTGAGGCCCGCACCCTCAATTATGTCAGTTCCGCCCTGCTCCACTTTTTACGGGTTTTGGTAGGACGGACCTATACAAGACGACATGTCTGTTTTCCACCCTTGTCTAATAATAATCATAATATAAAAACAGATTAAAAACTTAATATTAGTTAAATTTGGAGATACATCTTTGAAACACATGAAACTTAATTCAAAGATGCATTTCTAGACCCAACGTTCTTTTTTCTGCTAAAAACCAGATTAATGCAAAGAATGAGGATGAAATGAATAAATTTTACCTTAAATTTCAACTTTTTTTTCTCCTTTTGATGTGATAAAATATAAGAATGATGTTTTGATGTTAAAAAGTTGATTGAGAATGGAAGATTTTTTAAAAAGGTTTTGAAGGTAAAGTTGAATTTGATCATGAGAAAGAAGAATATGCAAAGTGGTGTTTCATTCAATTTCTCGCTTGGCATGTCCGGATATGCATCTCAGAAATCGTCACTGAGTTGTTAAATAAATCAACTCAGTGAATGAAAACATCATAAAAGTACATAGGAGTTTATGAAGATGCATCTCCAAATTCACACTCAAAAAATTACGAAGATGTATCTTCAAATCAGATTTCAACAAAAATAAAATGTGTAAAATAAAATGTGTGACTGAATTACAAGAGCCGGTGTGATTTTAAATATGTTGAGAGTTCCATCTTCAGACATCAATAAAGACATCACATTAAGTTTTTAGAGGGGTGAGAGGCACTATGAATGAGATGAATATTTTCCAAGAATTTTTGTGACAAGATAAAAAGTATGATTGTGACAAGATTTAGTGGAGAAGAAGAGTATAGAAGTTTGGACTCATAAATATACAAAGCATGTGCTAGAGCATCTTTAATAGTAGCAACTAAAATGAATAAATTAAATTATTTTATATGGAACCAAAATAATTTATAGGATTTAAAAAATTTATAGTTGATTTGAGTAGTTTTTATTTTAATGGTGGTTATTTATAAAAAACTAAAACTTGACCCTACATTTTATATATTGTAACAAGTTGTTAACATTAATTTTTTAATGCTAAACATTAGTGCATAGAGTGATAGTTAACGTTAACTATGGAAAGCACGGTCTCATATTATTACTGCCACATAGATTTGCTTTAAATGGTAGTAGACTATAAATTCTGTATTTATAACAAACCAACCCTTTAGTTTACCCACGTTAAAGATGCCCCTAAGTAGTGAAAATACCAGATTTTATCAAATGACGAATTATACCAATGTGTGACCGTTTATTATTGGACCACCTGAAAATGTTACACATAAAAAATAATTTACAAAAGAATTTATAGTGAATATTTCCATGCCAGTTCTAATTATATGAAGAAGTATCGTGAAGATAGATTGACAAACACAAGATAGTCTACATATATTACATGATTAGTAGAACAATAAATATGAAAATAATGATTTGTATAAGGAGAACTTTGTATACGTATATTTGACTACCTAACCATTATTAAATCATCACCTATGGTATACAAAACGTGTAATAAGTTATTGAGATTTGGGGTTACATGTTGACAACATGCCTTAAAGGCTCAAAATGCCATGTCTTCTCTCCTCTCCTATTAACCATTAAGCTTTCGCCTTTTGGTTAATGCGGAAAACTACAGCACAAATATCTTCTATGCCTGCTCAACTTCTTTGGTTTATTTGAAGACATACCTTGATTTACAACGGCGTTACTTTTTTTCTTCCTTCTGGACTTGGCTTTGTCATCTGAAGAGATGTCTTGAACCAAATCAGCATTTAGTTGCTTGTTGCGGCGTGTTGCTTGGTCCAGAATTGCTCCATTTTCCAAAGAATATGAACCAACACTAACCTCATTGTTATCACAAGGTTTAACAGTTTTTATGGAAAATGAATCAACTCTACCATATTTTTTCATGCAAGGAGACTCTTCATTGGCAAAGCTAGAAGTGGCAATCGGGGAACGTAATCGGTATTCCCTAACCATTGAAATGGCCTTGTCTAATGTTTCTAGAGCCTGTTCCACCTCTGAGCGGATATACACACTCCTCTTGCCTTTTTGTACAACTCCACTAACTCTGTCATTTGGAATGTCATTTACTTTCACATCGTTCTCGGCACTTTGCACAATCTCTTCCTTACCTAATTCTACAATCTCACCAATTGTTTTGCTATTCTGTAGTACTGTTGCATTCGTTGCTGATGACACGACATTATTTGCATCTTTTACTTCACCCTTCTTACTTTCAACAAGATCTTCAGCAGGGTGAATTCTTGCAACTTGCGGAAGCTCCCCGCTACTCGCGCTATATAGAGCCTCGCGGATTCTAGCATACAATGGATCCCCCAAGGCCTTGCTGAATTCTTCTTTATCTTGGCTCATCACAGATGCCACAACCTATAGTATTATCATAATAGATTAATTTCAAAAGATGATAGAAAACAGTACCAAATCGTAATGCAAGGATGCAAAGATGTTTCACTTCTATTTCGAGTGACCAAATTGAATATTCAAACGTAAAATAAGTTGTATGTCAAAGAAGTATAACTAAAAACGAACTGCAACCTTTTGATAAAGCCTGAAACCATTGCCAATGAGCTGCCTTGAAATAAAGTTTATCAAAGACGGAGGAACAAAATCAACCTTTACATCCATATTTGCTATTGTCCTACAAAATTTTAAGTATTGAATTAAGATTGCATACTAAAAATCGTTTTCTTTGTGGTACCCTTCGATTTCAGTTAAACTATAATTGCTATGCTGAAGTACACGTAAAACTCACCGAAAGTAGCTTCTTTCGGATGTACACTTTTGCAAAGCAAACCCTCCCACTAAATCAACTCTCACGACGTCCTTTGCTTCAGGAATTGCTTCCTCATTGAAACCATAAAGGGTCCCCGCGACACTCGAATCAGGAACCTGAGAGCAAGTTAAGCACAAATTTATTGAAAACTTCAATCTAGTCTATAATTAACTTTCTCGGAAGAAAATACTTTTTAGAAGAAAAAAAACTCTAAAGTTAAAAAGCAACGAAAGGCTCAGGTGATTACCGAATTCGTAAGAACAACAACCAAGTCCTCTTGAAAGTACTCAAACAGATAATAGTGTACTACAGCTTCCCTCATAGACAGAGGCCACGAAACCTTCATCCTTTCTTACAAAATTCAGAGCAAAATCGGAATTTAGAAATGAAAACCTTCAAAGGGGGATCGAAAAGTGATCGTTTTAGTTGATGCTGGCATCACATACCTCACTAGTGATATCTGTTCCCCAATCTGGGCCTGCTCTAAACATTCACATGATAAGATTTTGAAAGTAGGAATAGTAGACTGAGGCCACCTAAATGAACATTGTTTAAAGGGTGTCAGCTAGAAGTATGAGTTCATGTAACACCGACACTACAAATTAAAGTCATCTCCGGTGTTGGGTTTCAATGCTTCATAGTATCAAGAAAATAACGGCACATATAACACAATAATTCTCACCATTTTTTATAAAGAGTGGTTTGCCATGAGATACATAAACCTGCAATGATGAAAATCACTCGTTCAGTTTTTCGAGTTGATATCAAATAGTACTCCATGGTTTTTGTAGTTTGTCAAAAAAGGCTGATGATAAAACTTTTCATTGCTCCAGTGTGACTTACAAACATCAACAGGTCCATCCACAAAGCCTTCCACCAGCATCGTATGAAAGGGAGTTCCCTCCAGTCCTTGACGATACATAACACGAAACTCGTCACTATCCTGTTTTAACTATTGAAAGAAGTAAATTTATCAACCGCGACTTGGTAATTCGATTACAAAAATTCAAGTATCTTCATCCTAAAGATTAACAAAATCACATTACAAATGTCACACAAAGTCTTTGAGGGCGCGCAAAGTAGACTACCGCATAAAATTGGTCACAGTTAAACTGTGGCTTAAATTGAGTCTCATAAAATATTAACACGGTGAAATCGTGTTTAAATAGGGCCTCTATTTATTGTCACAGTTAAACTGAAACTTACCTACAAAGGGCCTCTACAAATTTGAGACGGCTCTGTTTGCATTAGTCCATTGAATTTTAAACAACAGAGCCCTGTTGACAGAAATCACATAGTCGACATTTCTATGAAAGAAATATATCAATTAAACTTAGGCATACAAAACAAAGTAACTCGAGATCTAAATGAATGGAAGATCACATATATAAGGGGAAAAAACAATTTATCATGAAAACAAAGCATTGTGAAACTGCAGAAGCCAGAGAATGGATAACATACTTTCCAATCATTATGTGAAGTATTGGACCTTCCATGATCCGCTGAAGCACTCCTCAACATATCAAGAAAGTTAGATATCCCTGCAGTCTTATGTTCTATTAATTTCTCTTTATATCCTACACAAAACCAAACAGAGCTAAGAAACTAAAATACCTTTTCCAAAAGAAACCGTAAACAGTCATTTTTGTCTTTGAATGTGTGTGATGTTATCACTATAGTCTCCAAGTGTATCAACACTATAAAAATATTCACAGACGTATCATTTGTTAGTCAGTATAGTCCTAGAGTATGTCTTTTGTAGTAAGTTTGGTCTTCAAACGTGTCTTCCCCATAGTAGTCAATCCCGGATAGCAGCGGGGAGCGGTCGGTTCCAAAAGTGGAATAGCGGGATGGCGTATAGCAAGATGACCGCTATTTGATCCTTTTTGGACAAATTACATATAATAAGTATGAACATATATTTAATGTAAAATTAAAAAATAATTAAACATCCATAAAATATTCATAAATCATCGCACAAAGCTTAATAAAAAAACACTCAAAAACAAACAATGCTATGTTTGGATACTGTAAAACGAACGGAGTGGAACGGGATGGAATGGAGTAGAATAGAATAAAGATGTCATTCCATTGTTTGAGAATTTCATGACGGAATAGAGCAATTTTTTCATTCCACCCAAATCGAAGGGTACCAAAAGTGATGGAATGGGATGGAATGCATTCCATCAGGTTCTGGAACCGCTCTGCTCTGCAATCCCGCTATTGACCCTATAACGACCGCCATGGTGTTCTGCACTAGCCGGCCTCCGCTCCACTATAGTGCCACTATTGACTAGGTTTTCGGTTTATCAGTTTGTTCCACAAGTTACTACTATCAAAAGACAACCAGGAGACATTTTTACATTTACATTTACAACATAATACATTCCGAACCATATTGACAACGCCTCACATTTAGGCGCCAAATTAACTATTTATGCAGAAAGAAACTAAAGAATGTTAATAATCACCTTCATCTTCTTGTTCTGATAAAGGTATGAGTTGACTTTTAACAAGATTTTTGAGCATCTCAACATTTGTAAGATCAGGTAAAGCAAGAGTCCTATCCAGCCTCTCCCTATACTGCACTATCTTCCTTTTTTTCTCCATTTACGCATATATTCGGGAATCCTTTTCACAAAAAATGATATCAGGCATAAATTCCAACCATTCATAATATTCCCAAACTCATCTAAAATTCACCACAACAGAAATTCTCTATAGTTAAACAAGATTAACAAATCAGGTATAGCATAATTCTCATCACATCATTCATAGTAAAATACAACAAATTGCTAAACAAACAAAGATTGAATAAGCTTCCAACAAAACAAAAACCTAATTCTAGTATTGAAGTCAACCTACACAACATGCACATGAAAATCAAATACAATACCAAAAGATGAAGCAGCAGCTAGTGAGGATGTTGTGAGGAGAAGAATCCAGAATCGGAAAAAGGAAGATCTAAAACTGTGATCCAATATTCAAGACAGATTCAGCTTATGTGAAAGGGCACCAAATCGGATACAGCCAAAAGGGTATGTGACTTTTTGTTGAGTTCATATAAGAAAAGTCGAACTCTGTGTGCTAAAGAACAAAAAATGTTCTGCTCTTGTCTTAACAAGGAAAAATAATTAACTTTATACTTATTAATATTACTATAAAGAATTAATGTCATATTTCGACTTGATTGACATCAAACAATTGATTTATAATTAATTTATAATTATTTATCATAATAGATTATTACAATCAATCTATATAATTAATTGAATTTACTTGAAATACAGACATAGTAAACCGTCAATTAATTACAACGGTTAAATTATTTAAACTGTTTTTTTTTATAATTTTTTTTAAATAATATATTTTAATGATTATGATGTATTTGTGGTGTAAAAAATTCTATACTAATGTTGCATAGCAATTAAACTTTAATTAATTTTGTTTTTATAAAATTAATAATATTCATAACTAAATATTATAATTAATTATGAATTTATAATCGATTTTAAAAGTCATAGTCGATTTTCAATTTAAAATGATTTTGCACATAAAATTTCAATTTTAAAACATATATTAATTTTTAACATTTGATTTTTTAATTGATAACCAATTTGAATATAAAAATTTTAAAACTTTATTTTTAAAGTGGATTTTATTTATGAGAAGGATTTTTTTCATAACTGCATAAAAATTGATTTTAAAAATCAGACAAAATATATGGAAAAAACGATTTTTTTGATAACATAAAAATTGATTGTAAAAATCGGACAAAACATATAGTAAAATATACATTTAAAATAACTTTGAGCTAAATATAATTTTGGTTCTTTTAAATATTTCGTATTTAATATTTAATCTTTTTAAAAATTAATTTTAAAGAATAATTCTTTTAAAAAAATTAATTTTAACTTTTGATCTTTCTTATAATTTAGCGACGATTTTTATAATTTAGTGACAAAATTAATGATAGTTTTAGCGACAGTTTTTTATTTAACGATAATTTTTATCGACGGTTTTGACAAGAGGAACCAAAAGTTAAAATTAAAAATTTTAGAAAGACCTTTAAATTTTTGCAAGAACCAAAAGTTAATATAAGATATTTAAGAGGACCGAAAACATATTTATAGTGTGTTTGATTTCGCTTCTCAAGTCATAAACGTACATCCAAAACCCTTTCAGCCGTGATTTTGAAAAACTACAAAAAAAAATAACTTTTGCGTAAACGTGAATTTTCACCGTGATTTTTTGAATCTCACCGCCAAACCAAACATAGCATTAACCCAATAATTTTTATGATAATGAAACTAATAATCAAAGAGATTAAAGGTTATACATTTTCAATGTAAATTAATTTTACACCATCATTCAATAAAATTATAACATTCAATTATGTGATATTAATATTTTAAAATTAAAAATATGGCTTGACGAAATATACGTTATTTATTAATAATATAAAAATATTTTTTTTAATAGTCGAATCACATGTTCATTTTAAAATAAATGGATTATTATGATATGGACTGTCACAAAACTTTTATTCACCAATCATTATAATTTCCAAACCGACGAATTCAATATATTTTATCATTCTGGATTTTACATTTTAATAAATATTTAATAGAAAATTTTGAATGTATATTGCATTTCATATATGATTCCGATTGATAAAACATATTTTTCAACTTATGATTTATAATTTATAGCTTATAAGTTCATAAGATATTTTAGATCTATTTAGTAACGATATTTTCATCACGAGTTTATAATTTATTTTATTAGCTTATAATTTATTTTTCAGACGCTATTTCAAATAACATTTTAGCTTATAGCTTATAATTTATTATTTTTTCTTTCTTTTTTATCCTTATTTATTTTAACAAAAAATTACTTTTATCTTCTATAATTTAATTTAATTTAAAATAAAATAATTATATATTAAATATTTTTTATGTCATTTTATATTTATAAGTTAGTTGAACTGCTAATTTTACCAAACAATTCAATTAGTTTATCAGCTATCACTCATCAGCTATAAATTTAGCTATAAATTATAAGCTATCAATGAACCGCTATTTTTACCAAATAGACCCTATACATTTTAAGAAAATTTTAATATTTAGAGTACAACACACATTATTAAAATTGCAAGCACAAAGATTTTAGGTTTGAAAACCATTTTAAAAATAAAACTACAAAAATAGGGTTGAGTTGATTTTATAATTTATTTTAAAACAAATATTTATTAAATTTCAAAATCAATATTTTTTTTAAAATTCTGAAAGACTATTTCATAAGGGCTAAAATTTGTCAGAATACCAATAGAATATACCACCGAATACCAATCCTAGAAGGGGTTATACACCTGATCACCATAATTCTGAAATGCCTTTTAATTTTGCACACATTGTCCAAGCTTATCCAATTTATCTTCCTCCTTAATTCAAGATGAAAGTCTCCTTTTTATCCTCTTCATTAATGAATTCCAAGTGCTTCTCCTCCTTGGACTTGCTCCTATCGGAATACCCAAGAACATAAAAGGCATGTAACCAATTTTACAAGTCAAAAAAAGATGAAGTTGCGTGTATCACTTCTTGATCCAAATTCACACCATAAATATCGCTTTTGTGCAAATTCACATGAAAACCCGAGGCAAGTTCAAAGCCTCTTAAAATAGATTTGATACTCCAAAAATTCCCCCTTGAACCATGTGTCGTCTACAAATTGTAGGATTTCAAAGTGAACATCTTCATTGATTTGAATCCTTTGAAATCTCCTAAATTATTACATTTGAGACTGATCCAGCTAACCCTTCCACCACCATCAGAAAATGAAAAGGTGATAGGGGGTCACCTTGGCGAAGGCCTTTCTCAACTTTGAAGTCCATAGTCGGGCTCCAGTTCACTAGAATTGACATGGAGCTAGAGAAGATTAGAGCTTTCATCCACATCTCATTCAACCTGGCCTGAATCTCATTATTCTCATCACATATCTTAGATAGTCCCAAGAGACATTAGCACATGTCTTTTCAAATTCCACCTTCACAGACAAGCATCCCTTCTTATGTCTCTTGGAAAAATCCAAGGTTTCATTAACTACTACTATTCCATCAAACATCTGCCTATTAGCCAGGAAAGTAGATTGACATTTGAAAATCAAATTGTTCATCACCTTCTTTAACCTACTCACAAGAAGCTTGAACAAGATTCTAAACAAACTAGAAATTAGACAAATTGGTCTAAATTCACAAAGACTTAGATAAATGCTAGTCTTGGGAATCAGAGCTACAAATGAAGTAGTAACTGCCTTCGAAACTGATACAGTTTGGTGAAATTCGTTTACAAATCTCCAAATGTCTTCCTTCAATATTTTCTAACAAGCTTTGAAGAATTGTAAGTTAAATCTGTCTGGTACCGAACTTTTGTCACCACCCCCTTGCCAAATTACTTCTTTGATTTCCTCCATTTGAAAAGGCATTTCAAGGTTGACCCTATTTTCATTTGATAATTTGTTAAAATGGAAGTCTCGTGCACTGGGTTATCCATTTTTAATTTGTTAAAGCTGACTCTCTCGAACTTTGGTCTCTACACATTTTTCTCTTTGAATCTCCTTTCAAAAAACTCTTTTACCTCCTTTGTCACCTTCTTCACTCTCGCAATTCTTCCTTTTTTGTGTTCAGACCCAAGATATTATTTCTTCTAAACATCCAATAGAGCAGAAATATAATATTTAATAATACTTAAATATTCAATAGAAAGGTAACACCATAGCAAAGCTTCTCAGCGAGAAATTCACTGTCTAACCCTAAAGGCGATCAAATAATAATTTTGTCGTCTAATTCCCCTTACAATCTTATTTATCGGGGAATATGCTAACTAACTGCCAGCTAGGGGGTGATAGCTATTTCATATTTTCTTTCTTTTTCTTTCTTACATAAACTCTCCATTCTTTGGGCCTAGCATTATTCATGCCCATTAACACCTCCCCTTCATTATCAATGGGCTCAACCTCCTTCCTATCATTACCCCTTCCTTCAACACTAGCCATATCCTCAAGGCTAAGATCAGAAATTGACTCTTCAACATGAGCTCTTCTTCCCAAGTAGCATCACCAACATTCATACCTTCCCACTGGATGAGCCATTCCCTCTTGTGTCGACCCTGCTCCCATCTATCCCTCCAAGACAGCACCCTAGCCGGAATGATGGCTCTCTTGTCTTACCGACTGCTTTCTTTAGCTGTGAGACATGGAAGATAAGATGAATCTTGGAAGATACCGATAATTATAGTTTGTATGCAACCTTTCCAATCTTTTGAATAATTTGGAATTACCCATAAAAATGAGGAGAAAGCTTTTGGTGGATTCTACGAACCACACAATGCTGCCGGTGAGGACGCAACTTCAAAAATACCCAGTCGCCAATATCAAAATGAACTGCCCTCCTTTTTTGTCAGCAAAATGCTTCATATGTTCTTGAGCATTTTGTAAATTGAACTTCATCTGGCGTAATGCTTCATCCCTGTCTCACAACTCCTGTGCAACAACTTCAACACGAGTCTCACCCTCCAAATAATGCACCAACACCGGAGGTTTTCGACCGTATA